GGCAAATCAAGTGGTAAAGGTACGAAAGGGTACTATTATTATGGTTCTGGAGATAGTAGCGGCAAAGGCAAAGGAACCAAGGGATATTACGATGAGAAGTCCGGGAAGGGAGGAAAATCAGCTGGTAAAGGAACAAAGGGGTACTACTACTMTGGATCTGGAAACAGTAGCGGAAAAGGCAAGGGAGGGAAAGGAGCGAAGGGATACTACTACTATGAAGCTGATCGCAAGAGYCGTGCTTCTACCCACAAGTGAGGCTGAAACTATGGTAGTGATGGGCGTCAACAAAACCAACCGTGCAAGAGGGAACTTAAAGAAGGATGCGATGTACTCACCATGACGAATCAAGCAACCATACGATTTGGCAACACTTGTATGCCAATTCCAAAGTAGGTATTTCTACACACATTTATGTTCGACACCAAAGAAAGTAAAATGGTCAACTCCAGACTGATAAATGAGCAAAAACACATAATCATCAAAGACGCATAATGTTCTTAATGTAAGATGAAACATTTTTTCCGGCTTTGTACAAGTTGCACAATGTCAAGATTAWATCAAAGTAGTAAGCATCCCCGGCGCTTACAAACAATGCATTTTACGGATCCATTCGAACACAACCTGGTGTACGGATCTTCGGTACTATAATTGATTTCTCTACAGTTCCTCTTTTCCTTCTTTGTACTCGATTTCGTCGACCATGGCATCATCGTCGTCGAACCATTCGTCATCCATGGCATCATCGTCGTCGAACCATATCACGTCGCCGTACGTCTTTCCTCGCGTTCTTGGCGCGTCGCACTCGTACCGAAACCACTTCCGCCGGATGGGCTTGAGGTGGAACCACAAGTTGGCACCGTGTTTCTCCCCCCTGGCCACGGGCAGGGCCGCGTGCTCGGTCCTCCAGTCGATGCTCCGCGGGTCGGAGTCAAGAACCGACGGCCACAGGACCGCCCTTCCTTTTTGGGGAGCAATCGTCAGGTTCAATCGGGGAAAGCTGGTTTCGCCCCCGCCTTGGACGTCGTTGAGGTACAAAAAGACCGTCAGGATCCGCCCCCCGTCCTGRCTCCACTCGGTGGGGTCCTCGATGAAGTAGTAGTCGTGATGATCGGCATAGTACTGGCCGACGTTGTAGTGGAGCAACTGGAGGGATTCCGAGTGCGAGGAATCGATCTGGACCAAATCGTGGATCCGGGCCGTCACGCTTCTATAGATTTCGTCCCCAACGCAAAAGGGGCTCTGGCACCAGGCAGTCTCGCTGGTGCGTCCCATTTTCGGCACGGGGTTGGTGGCGGCGGCGGTTTGTGACTCTTGTATTGCCTCTTTCTTTGTTCCAGTACCATCCTCCTTGTCCTCCGCGCTGTAATCGTAGGCACCGTCCCCACCCATATACGAATCGTCGTCGTCGAAAATGGTGCTTTTTTGGTAGCCTTCCATAGCTCCTAGCTTGGCCAATYGATTGGATTCTTTGTCGGTCAAAAAGTTGTCGATCCATAATACCCATGGTCCACCGTCTCCCTCAAGTAAGTCGAAGGGATCSTCGTCTACAATTTCATCGTCGTCGTCGTAGTAGTAACCTTCATCTTCGTAACCGTCGACGAAACCATCATCATCGTCAGCATCGGCATCGGTGTCTTCGGACTTGGCATAATCTGATTTGACCTTTTTCGGCAGAGCATCGGGCGACGAGGCTACCGTGAGCCTGCCCTTCAGGTCTTCGTCTTCCCGGTAGATGCGAACAATCCTACGGAACATGRCATCGAGCGTGGTAGCATTGAACCTTGGATTGTCGGTGTGCTTCTTTTCGGTCCCGGTGTCGTTTGCCGCCCAAACATCGGGTCCGCTCTCCAACCACCGGCAGCGCTCGTCATCGGGCAATCGAGCGTAGGGACTGTTCCCCGTGGCTCGGATCGGATACTCGATCCTGGCGCTGGGACCGGGGGCCGGAAAGAGAACAGGTCCTCGCTCATTCTCTCCGGTGGAACCATCACCARTGGCGGTGTCATTGAAGTCGTTCTTCGGGAGTTGTTGTCTCTCTCGATTCGCACCTKTAGCCTTCACCGACAGAAGGAACAACAGGGTGACGCACAGCGACGCAGCCATTGCGACTGCAAACGGCGCGTGCACGGCTCTCTTGGGCAGCGATCTCACCGTCCGCGTCATATGGTTCGGTTGATAATTGAGAACAGGAGTTTTGTGCGGAGGTAGCTATCTCTTTTGTCAAACGAAAGGCTGGGTTAGTGGATAGTCTGATGGATGAACGAATGAAAACCGGTAGACAAAAAGTCAAAAATGAGTGAAGAAGTACTATCGGTACTATGAAACTACTAGCTAGTACTATGTAGTATAAAACAGAACCAATGCCACACCTTTTGGGATACTTGTTGAGAAATTTCGTGCCACTATTGCAGATATCTGTATGATTGCTCTGAAATTGCAAGTTTATTCACAACTGTCTGTTGCAAACCCRAAACAAAAAGAAATCAAGGCCAGAGCAATAATGGTGGTGGTCCTCAGGCCAGCAGCAGCAAAGAAAGGTGGACATTTTGTTGTACAAACCTCTCTTGATTCCCCTTTGGATACAACCAGCACTTACTGATGACACTTCCTGTTACAGCTACTGGTGGACATACTAATAGACACTTGTTGTCTACTATTGAAACTGTATTGTATAGGTTTGAATTTGAGGAGTAATGTTTGAGAGTGGGCTCTTGAACAGTTTGAACATGATCAAAAGTTAACAATTTTATAAAACTTCAATGGTAACAGCAAGATTTGCTGGCAGTGGGCCAGTATTGCTGTCAGTACACTCCCCCTTTTCTGGCAWGGGAAACAATCTAGTAGGGTTCTTGCTAGCATAGAAAAAGAACAATCTCCTGAACTGGCTATATTTCCTGGATAAACACAGTACTAGTGATACTTATGGGTAGGGGTGGATAGTATATTACAACTTGTGGGTCTACAACACCTTGGAGCTACCATAGTTTGATGGGAGGGACATCTACTGGGATGGGTG